CCTGTGTGTGCCTGTGTGTGCCTGTGTGTGCGTGTGCACACACAGCCCACTCTGTTCGCCAAAAACGAAGTAACTGTCTACAGATATGATCCAGCAGAGGCTCTTATGTGGCATGAACATGATAAATGATAACATTAACTGAAGGTATAATTCACCATTGTTTTTTAAAATTGTTCTTAGTAATTTACTGTGGTGGTTTTTATATATAATGTCCTCTGGTGTTTCAGATATTGTCTATATATCATAAATTGATAAGAGTCCTGTTGGATTGCAGCTGGATATAAATGGATTGAATAAAATAAAATACATATCAGCAAAATACATATATAAAATTCAAGTGCCAATCTAGCCAGTTTCTACACCTGGAATGCCAGTGGGAAGTCATACTGTCCTTTACTTCAAGCAGTAAGTTCTTCTTTGGACCACCTCTCAGGAGCAATGACACCCACCACTATTTCAGCATTACCAGCTCAGAAGATGGTCTCTCCCTCCCACTCTGTGACACCTCCAATTAAACTCTGAGGGGAAGCTCTAAAAGACTGTGGTGAAAGTGAGACCATCCCTCCCTGCCCCACCCATCAGGGTAGACCAAGTTGGATGGATTACTGACAGATGGATCCAAAGACAGCCCTTTTCAACTTGTCACCCTCAAGGCGGGACTTGGGCATCCCCAAAAGGATCCTGGAAATTCTAGCCCTGAGGACACCATGGTGGGTGGGAGGAGCCTGTTCACACAGAGTGGTGGGTTCAAATCCACTTGACTACTGGCTACTTCCCAGAGTTGTGGAGATAAAATTAGGGGAGAATCCCAGGTAAGCCACCTCTTGTTCTTTCAAAAAAACCCAGATATAAAGGCAATAAATACACATTTTTTTCTGGACGAGTTAAAATTTTGCCGTCTGCCTTGCTGTTTTAAACACCAGAGGTACTTGTTTTCCGTTGGCTATTCATATTAACGAAGAAGCAACTAAAATGTGGACAGATGCGTTACCCAATAAATGCCTTTCCTTTCCAACCTTTGGACCGAAGCCTCGATGCAGGAACCAGGGTTGGCTCTTATTCCTTTTTTTTGCTTGCCACTAGTATTAAAGTCTCGTGCCCATAAAGGTTGTGCCCGCCGCAGACATAAGCGATGGGTGCGATACCCTTCTTGTGATTGGATGCATAAATTCGCAGAGGCAACTGTCAGCCATCGGTCGGTAACCTAGCCCTAGCCCTAGCCCTAGCCCTAGCCCTAGCCCTAGCCCTAGCCCTAGCCCTAGCCTATTTGATGGGCAAAAAGCACGGGACAGCCAAAATAAGCAGACGCGATCGATCGGTGTGCGAAACACCCTGGCGGGCAGAAAAGGGGCAAGAGCCCTGGGGCTCACTAGCTGAGCCGTTCCCACGCCACGGCCTCGCAAAATCTTTTCATCGCGACGGCCCTGATTTATTTTTCCGCCGATAGAGGATGCTTTACGGTAGAGCAGGCGGAATCGAGGCGGCGGAGGAAGCAGGAAGCAGCCTCGTTTCCCCCTCCTGGCGGCCGCTGCGCTCTCGCCGGCTACGGCGGGGAAGGAGAGGAGAGAACCGGCAGAGCGGCTAGCGCAGCGCCCCTCCGCGCCGGCTGCCCCCTTGGCCGCCCGAGAC